CCTAATACGTAATTCGTTAATCTATAATAATCTGCTTCAAGAGTTGGATTCTAGAAATTCCCAAGAAATCTGTAGATTTCCTCTCTTCCGAAACGTGATTCTTCCCCAGCTCCAAATCTGAGAACTTTTTGATTCTTGAGATTCATACTCCTCTACAGTCGATCTCATTCTCTTGAATTCTTCCCATTCACCTTCTTCAGCATGTATATTGGACAAGAGAGTGTAATATCCCATATCGTCGTCGGTAACAATATTCGAAAGATCATTTTTTATTGCTTTGATAATATCCATTCTCTGATGGAACCAGAATGACCACAAGCAGAGAGAACGTTCATGAAGACAACTTCGTTAGGTTTCGTTCCAGATTCCACCATTTGATCCAATGTAGATATGGCGGATCCTATCCATCCGTGCATTCCATAACCGTTGATCATACTACTACTCCACGACACAATGCTCCTACTCGACATGGCCTTAAAAAATGGTTTCAGCTGTTTCGAGATCTTTACATTTGGCATACATGTCGATTAGAGCTGTATCCGTGAAAAGATCCTTCAAACCAGAAAGAACGAGCTTGTGGTGAACCCATTTCCCTTTCTCCAGTGAACCTATACTTGAGCACGGTTGGATTTCCGCCAAAAATGTAACTTCATTTGTCTCGAGAAAGTTACAAAACATATAGTCGAAGAGGCTAATCGCCTCTAAGGAGTTACCATTCTAAGAAAACCCGCAGAGCATCGAATTCCATGTCACGACGCTCCTCTGGTTGATTTGATCAAACACCGTACATGCTGAATTCACAAGCCCGTTTTTAGAGCACATGTCTCTATCATCGAGTTCTGCACAAATTCATCTGAAACATCTGTCCTTATAACATGTCCGTGAATTTGTTTCCCTAGTTGGACTAAACCAGTATTCTCACATGCTGAGATTGAGCTTGCCAAAGTGAATGAATCAGGTCTTATTCGCTGTGTCACCATCTCTCTAAACAGGCACAATGCCTCAATCACCATACCTTTGTGTGCATATAGAGATATAAGTGTGTTCCATGCCACAATATTTTTATCACCAACCACACATAAAACTGTCTCAAAACACTATATAGAGTGACCATTTCCGGCTCAATTCCAGACTTAAACATCTCACTGAAACTGCTCAATGCCTATTCAGAGAACCCGCCACGATTGTAACTAGAGATCATACAAATAACTGAATAAAGTAACAGACATACAAATAACAAGACGGAAAGGGTAGCTAAAATTTGAGACAAGAATGAAAAAATATTGCACAAAAAACATACAAATAACTGAATAAAGTAACAGTCTTGATTCATGGTCGTTGATAGACGTATTTGGTTCTTGGGTCAACGATTAGACCTTTTCCTCCGTTAACTTGAAGATCATGCCTGTCATTATTTAAACAAACACACAATAATTAACAACAAATCCAGCACTGAAGAACACTTTACAGAGTGAAGCGTAGTAGTAGTAAACTTACTGGAAAACAAAGTCCGGGATTGTCAGTTGCTCACGAGGAACATATTTGAACAGCTGCAGAAATCGGTCTGCATATACAACTTTCTTCCACACCTTAGCAAAAGACAGAGCAAATTAGACTTCTTTAGAATCACTTAAGTCTTGGGGAAAAGGTTGGGACTTTGAAATAATTCAGGAGATTACCACATTATCCACCAACAATTGCATAGCCAAGACTGTAGCCTTCAATTGGAAAGTTGGATGAAGAGAACATAGATTGCCTGGATGAACATAGATTTCACAGCTGCTCATTATCCACCAAGAACATCGTCCTTACTTTGTCAAATCTTCATTAACTTTTGTGTTTTTGTCGAGTCCACCGACTGAAAACTTGTCATGTTTTAACTTTTTTTGGTTTTGTCATGGAACCATCTACGATTTGTAAACCTACATTTTATTCATTTTAATGAAATATTTACAATTTAACAAAAAAAAATTATTGATGATTCTTTTGTTCATTTGATTACAGTGTTAGAGTTCTTTAAATAGTGTTATTTAGTTTAGATATGGGTACTAATAATAATTTGAAAATCAGAAGTTAAAGCAGCTATGAAATTTTTCCATACTTTGAGTGTATATTATTGTTTTCATCTACCAACACAGAGAAAAATATATTTATAAAATTATTGGTCACGTATGATTACCCTAAGTTAATAGGAAATTCGTATAAATATTTTTTTTTTCTGAGAAAGGAAATTCTTATACATAG